AGAAGTCTCCTTATTGCTATGGGGAGTTTGTTTTGCTTTAGAGACAGAGTGTCACTTTGTTGCCCTTGGTAAAATGCTGTGGTGTCACAGCTCACAGCAACCTCCAGCTCTTGGGCTTAGGAGATTCTCTTGCCTCAGCCTCCTGCGTAGCTGGGACTACAGGGGCTCATCACCATGCCTGGCTATTTTTTTATTGCAGTTTGGCCGTGGCTGGGTTTGAACTTCCCACCCTCGGTATATGGGGCAGCATCCTACTCACTGAGCCACAGGCGCTGCCCTGCTATAGGGATGATATTTTAACACCTGTCCTATGGACTGGGTTGCCATGAAGTTGAGAGCACGTCAACGAAAGCACTTTGTTAATTACTATATTATCACATACTATATCCCATCTTATATTAGAGTTATTGTATACCAATCTCTTCTTCATGCCAAGTTAAGATCTCTTGGTGGGGCAATACCCAAACCTCTGTATCTTTCCACAGTGCCATGTGTAAGTAGGCTCTGGGTGAGTGCTGGCTATATTAAACTGAATTGTTCCCTGGAGGCACCTCCTAATTGCAGACTTTCTAACTTTCCATCCTTTATGTGCAGGGAAGTAGCTGCTTATTCCCTCAGTTTCCACTGCTGTTGTGAGCTAGCGTGGCCCTGCGCCTGTAGATCCTGGCCCTCAGGAGCCCTGCTGTCCCAAACCTGGCACTGGATCCAGTCTTTTCTCCCCTAGGGACTATTCCTACCTTTGCCAGGAGGCTCTGGCGGTGAGTCTTGCAGAGGTGGTGCTGGAAGGCCAGCTCTAGGTTGTACTGCAGCTGTTCCACTTTCCTTGTCTCTTGTAGCCCTGGCCGATCTGAAGGAGGGGGTGGGACCATAGTGAGAAGAAAGAACATGGATGTTAACTTTAAACAAAAGGGTATATCTTTATGGAGATCTGCGGTGAATAGAGGCCTTCTCAGCTAAGTGTGTATGTGTATTGTTTTGATGATGGTTAACTTTGGGACCTTGGAGGTTGCTAACTGTCTACAAGGAAAACTGGGGACAGACAAAATGGGTGAAAATTTCTAATCTCCTTACTCTAAACTACCCTCTCCCAGGTAGCCTGATATTTCATATAGCTATTCAATGCAAGGCACTAGGATTCTGCCCTGGGGAAACAAAGGAGTTGGAAGAGAGTTCTCCCAGCCCCTGTTCAAAACGGGTCCTGATAAAGAGGTGGCCTTTCTGAAGCCACCCAGGCCAGCACCAGGGCCTCACTTCAACACAAAATCCACCTATTGCCCTGGTTCCACAAAATGCCCAGCCATCATCTTTGAAGTCTTTATTTCCACTTCGAGGAGCATGTTTAGGTCTCTACTCAGTTGGCAGAGTCAGAACTGATACTCTTTGTCCCTGGTTCTCTGACTACTTGGCATCAGCAGACTCGGGCCAGCCCACTCTGTTCTGGTGGAGTGGATACCCAGGACTCTGCTATGTGGACATGCAGTCTTTTTTTTCTGAGATGGAGTTTTACTTTGTCACTCTTGTAGAGTGCTGTGGCATCAAACTCAGCAACACAGCAACCTCAAACTCTTGGGCTAAAGAGATCTCCTCGCCTCAGCCTCCCGAATAGCTGGGACTACAGGCACCTACCACAATGCCCAGCTATTTTTTTTTTTTTTTTAGACAGGGTCTTGATCTTGTTCAGGCTGATCTCAAACTCCTGAGCTCTAGTGATCTACCTGCCTCAGTCTCCCAGAGTGCTGGGATTATAGGTGAGAGCCACTATGCCTGGCTTTGGACATAAGTCTTAACATGAGTTCACACAGAGCAGTGATTCTCAATCCTGGTGGCCTAGGGGAGGCTGTTAAAATTCAGAAATTTGGCTCGGCGCCTGTGGCTCAAGTGGCTAAGGCGCCAGCCACGTGCACCCAAGGTGGCGGGTTTGAATCCAGCCCGGGCCCGCCAAACAACAATAACGGCTGCAACCAAAAAATAGCTGGGTGTTGTGGTGGGCGCCTGTGGTCCCAGCTACTTGGGAGGCGGAGGCAGGAGACTCGCTT